TTTAAAGTAATGTAGCGCAAGAGAGATGACTCTTAACACATATTAACGAAAACAAATAACACACTCATATATAATTTAACTAATCATTATGAAAATAGATTAACTGCGGTTTAATGTTAACCATGTAATTAAACAATATCATATGATATATTTTCTTATTGTATTTCTTCTATGTACACAATAGAGAGATTATTATTATATATATCTTTTCAAAGGGGTAATAATTTCAAACACGTGCATTAGCAGAACGTGATGACGAAAGAAATTTTCTTACAATACGGCATGTGTTAAGAATGATGGCTTTTTGTAATATTTTTGTAAAGAAGATTTGCAACATTTATTATTATTATAATTACAGTTTGTTTTACGAAATCGAAATAACCAACAAGTTAATAGTCCACGAAATGGAATGGCAACTATGGCCTATGTGCAGTTACTCCGTTGCCATTACTGCGGTGCCTAAGTTATTCTGCCTCCATCTCATATATTTCAATAGAGTAACCTTAAATAATAAACAGATGAATTCATAGATGACAGCAACATCTAGAAAGAATAAATTTTTTAGCGGACAACTTTATAATTTATTTTTCATACTGCTTTCTTGAAATATGATAGCGTAGCGACTTTTGTAGTGATTGCCGCATGCATCCTCATGTAAAGTGCGAATACTGTAACTACCATATAATAAATTTAAATAAGTAACAATACGAGGTCAAGTGGAATAAGTAGTCATGCTCACTAAAATGTCCAGACATGTGGCGGCGTGGTGGGCCGGGTCATTGGGCTCCCTAAAATATGGTCGAGCGCAGTGATGGCTGGCTCATCCGTCATACTCGTGCACGGGTGCTGCTTGTAGGGACTGGTCTGCTCTTATCACTACGACTGATTTAATCTTATTGTATATTTATATTGAGCCTAAATGAATTAGTACTGGTTGGTAGTTTGTATTCACACGTTTCGACTTGTAAAATATGAACTTACAAGGATTGTTTAAAAGAGCAACACACAAATTTCTTGCTTATTCTTCTTGTGATGAGACAGCTTTCCGAATAAGTAGATTTAAAAAAAAATTGATGACTATTCAAAAGTGCTTAAATTAAGTTTATTTGAATAAACTATTTTCTATTCTATTCTAATAACGGAGAAGGAAATTATTAGTACTGTGGAAAAACTTATCCTGTATTAATATTATGATATTAATTATAATTACAACCAACCTCGTATATTTAATACTAGCTACTCGCTTCGGTTTCACACGGGTGTACATATATTATACATATAAACCTTCCTCTTGAATTACGCTTCAAAATCCGTTGCGTAATTTTAAAGATTTAAGCATACATTGGCGACCAGGGACTAAAAGACGCAGCGTGGGAAGGCCTCCAGCAAGGTGGACCGACGATCTGGTCAAGATCGCTGGAAGGCATTGGATGCGAGCAGCGCAGGACCGATCGTTGGGGAGATCTTTGGGGGAGGCCTATGTCCAGCAGTGGACGTCTTCCGGGCTGAGATTATGATGATGATGAAGCACAAAGTCGCTGTCGCTGTCTGTCCGTCCATAGGGACGGAGACGAGAGCGACAGCGACTTTGTTATATAGTATGTAATGATCTGGTATTGGGGGAAAGAGGATTGTTAGTAATGTCAACTGATGATTCTATTACTAACAATGTCCAAGTTATGTTTAACTCTACGCGGTTCCATCTGGAAACCTTAAAAAATCCTGGTGAATTTGTTACGATGGGTTAACTGACCTGAGCTTATGCTCATCTTATTATCCTCCTCTGGTGAACTCTGGTTAGCGCAGGTGAGTGCACCATTCTATTAACTTTCCCTAAAAAAAATTTTATTGAGGGTACTATAATAAGAAAGGGTACAGTTAAGGTCTTCTATCTCAGAATGAATCATCTAAATCTGGGACATATGTAAAATAGTATATGTATATTCGCGGTTGAATACTAGCTGTTACGTGTGACTTTGTTTGCTTTTTTTAAACACAAAGCAATGTCGTCGGGGTGATCTTAAATTATGTGATGCTATCACTCTTACATGTGTTACGTCAAATTTTATTAAGATTAATTAAAAGTTTAATCGTAACAATGTCACAAATAGACAGACACATTATTAATACTAGTTGTTGCCCAAGGCTTCGTCTGCACAAATTTTCATGCCCTATTTAATTTTTTTTTTTTGAAAATCATTTATTCAAATAAACTTACATTGAAGCACTTTTGAATAGTCATAACATTTTTTTTTTTTTAATCTACCGCTCATTCGGAATGCTGTCTCATCACAAGAAGAACAAGCAAGAAACTTGTGTGTTGCTCTTTTAAATAATTTATTCTTACTTACAATTTAAGTTTAAGTGTGTGAATACAAACCACCGATTAGCACTAATTCAATTAAATACTCAAAAAGAAAAAAATATTGAATACATAACCAACTGGTTAAACAATTAATAAGAGGAAATCAGTCATAGTGATTAGATATATCGTAACCTGTTTTTTTGTTTAAGATACAATTCCATCTTCACGTCAAGTTTAGTAGTAAAAAAGTCACAAACGGAAGGATACATTTTCACATCAATAATAATAATACCTACACTATATATATATAATTATATTATATAGACAAACCTATTTGTCCGTCTTTCCGTTTTCTCACTGTGTTATATATTACTATGAAAATTTACAGTTCTAAGGCTATTCAACATGACACATCATATTAGTGGCTAGCTAACGGTAGCACCCGGCATTGCTCACGTAACGAGCACCCAGTCACGCAAAGGAGCTAGTTAACATAACTTATACGAGCGGATACGGGGTAACCTTCTGTTATTAACTTTAACTGTGGTTAACTTCAGGGCGGAATCGTTAGATTTTTTAACTACGAATAAATGGTTTAGTTTTTAACGTTTGTTTGCCGTTGTATGTTATTATATTAATATTAATCATAGTACTTTTTTATGTTTTGAATTTAAATTAATTCAGTTTAAATATATGACCATATATTTATACATGACCAAAATAGATTATATTGTATTGATTATATTATATGAATAAATAAATAAATGAATAAAAATATTAGCTGTCCCGGCGAAAGTTGTTTTGCCATAGAAAATAATATTGCTATTAAGAAATAAAGTTTGCTATTGAAGGGTTTAAATATAGGCTTGTGTGTATTATTCAATGGAAAAGAAAATGAAATAAATACAGAAAAATGTAGATTGAATAATAGTACATAAATATATAGTTAGATAAATTTACGATTTTATAATAATAATAAACCGGAAAAAATTATACAGCCCCACAAGCTGAGACCCCCAAGTGTTATTTGAATTTATCTAATTCACTGAAATAAATACTTAAATACTTTTTTGTACATATATAAATCTTATTAATATTATAAACGCAAAATTTTGTGAGTATAGATGGATATGTTACTCACGCAAAAACTACTGAACGGATTTTGATGAAATGTTTCAGTAATATAGCTTATACATCAGAATAATATATAGGCTATAAATTTCGGGATAAAACCGCGGGAACAGCTAGTACATATTCAAATTCAAAAATCATTTATTCATGTAAGATATTTTAGCCGCTTATGAACGTCAAGTTTTTAATGTTATCCAGTTCGGTATATAGATCCAATTGAGAAGAACTGGAAAGAAACTCATATTAATATACATAGTAAACAACTAGATTAATACTTGTAATAAATCATACTCATGAATACACACGTTTTTATCAAGTGAGGAATTGAACTCGCGACCATCATCGCTAAGGCAGTGTGCTAACACACCAAGGCGGTAATGGTAAAAACCATATCTTACAATACCTGACCATATTATTATATTTACATAAATTTTAATTCATATTATATTTATTTTTATATTCCTTCATCATCATTATGTTTGTTATTTTTTTAGTTTTCTCCTGTTTGCATATTACCTTCGATATTTCAATCCGCTTCCCTAAGGTTGCCTTGAAAAGATTGCTTTCAGCAATAAGATCGCCTTATTGTAACGATACGTACCTTTGATACATTGTTTGTGTCTCTTCTTACAGGAATTATTATGATTAAAATATAAACAATTGCTAATTTCGATGGGTTTCATCACTTCAACTCATTATAATATTATTTTTTACATCTTCTTCTTTTTCTTCATTTCAACGGCAACCAAATACATATTAGTATGTAAATTTTTTACTAATATTTACAACTGTGTAAACTAAATTCTGTCAAGTTACAATGAAGTGTCATTATAGCTGTCAGTCAGTGTTATTCAATCAATGAATGAAGTCTCTTCTTACTGTATGTTATAAATATACTACATATATGACGACTTCAGTGGTCTAGCGGTCAAGCACACCGCTTTACGACCGATGATCGCGGGTTCGATTCCTCGCACGGCACAAACATATGTATTAATGAGTATGATTGTTTGTATCGGTCTGGGTGTTTTCTATGTATAATATGTATGTATTTACAAAAAAAATCTATGTATATGTATCAGTTATCTAGTACCCATAACACAAGCTCTAGCTAGCTTAACTTGGGTCTAGATGGCTCTGTGTGAATTGTCCTGAGATTATTATTATTATATTATATATTCTATCTGTTGCGGGTTTTGATACTATGTTGTAGGTAGAGACGATGTATATTAAAGATGATAATTGACTGACAATATGTACATAAAAATATTGATCTAAATGAAGGTTGACTAGTAGAGAATGCCTAAGCATAGCATTAAGTCCGCTTTTTGTACCATAATTTATTGGTCAATAAAGTTTTAAATAAATAAATGACAATAGGAAAATGTAAGATGGAGTGACACAGTTTATAGACGGCAGTGCTTAGTAGACAATATTGTATTCGTCTTAGTAGCCAGTATCAAATGCAATTATTATTTTGATGTATCTAACTTAACTTTGTCCTATCTATCTATCTATTAAACCTCATAATACTGTAAATCATAGCTACGATATTTTGTTTCAGCATCAAACCACCGTCAAAGGACGGCGTCACAAAGAGCAACCCCAGCAAACGTCACCGCGAGAGGCTCAACGCTGAACTGGACACCCTCGCATCCCTGCTACCCTTCGAGCAGAACATCCTCAGCAAACTGGACAGACTATCCATTTTGCGATTGTCTGTCAGTTACTTGCGAACGAAGAGTTACTTCCAAGGTATGTTATATTTTTATGACAGCCCCGGTGGTATAGTTGTTTAGCACATACTTACTTTCGATAGTCGTAGGTTCGATTCCTCGCACGAAAAAAACATTTATATTTATAAATATGATTGTTTATTACGGTCTGGGTGTTTTCTATGTATAATACATATGTATTTACGAAAAATAAATAAATATAGGATTTTAATGCAGTTTTTAGCAATAGAGAGAGTGATTCAAGAGGAAGGTTTATATGTATAATACATGTATATCAGTGAAAAGCCTGGGTCGGTAACTAGGAATATATAAAACAAAATTGACATTAAAATAAGACCTTGTTTTGGCTTGTATAATCGATATTAATTAAATAACTCAAAAACTAAAGTATACATTTCTAATTTATATGCTAACTTTCAAATGTTCAAAATTAGTTCACATAGAAAGTTCTGGCAGGAAACTCTAAAAAGCAAATATGTATAAGGTTTATTATAGTCCATTTTTTCGTCTGTATTGACTGATTATATTCCATTCATCTATAAAATATTAATAGATTTTTCGCTGTAACTTCCAATAGTGTATTCAAATATTTTTATAAAGAGCTGTAAATTTCGTAACAAACCAAAACCAATAGACCAGCATCTTGCATCCCGCAAAAAGAACTAGAATTTCTTTCTCGCACTAACCCTTTCCATTACAAAACGATTAACGATTGGTCTTAGAATCGATCGTTGCATACCGATGTATCGATTACTTACAAATGTACCGAGCGACACGTATTTAATGTTGTCAGCCAATTTTATTGCGCTCTACAACGCGTATTAATAAATGAGCCCGTTCGAGTTCGAGTTCGATTCCTGTTAATTGTAATCGATATTTAACTCGATTTGATGATAATGTTGGTTATATTTTTGTATTCAATATTTCTCGTATTTAATTATGTTTATGTAAATAATATATTTAATTACATTTGTAGTTATATTTGAATATTTATACTTTGTCTTTCGTAAGCGTATGTCTTACCTATTTCAGCTGCAAAGAAGCTTGCTTTGTAAAGTATGATTTATAGATTTAGGCAGTGATATTACAGCATAAGAGGCACGATATCATGTCCTCTGGAATAGCAACACATGAGTGGTATCACTATGGTATGGTTCTTATTCGCTATTAAATAAGGACAATAACGTTGATCGAAATGGATTTTACATTTTTTTAGGGACTTTTATCTTAACATGATTATGTCCAGTCCAGTCCCATCGTATCTTATTACTAATCTTATGTTCTACTATACAATGAAAATAAAATTTTTGCCATCTCAAAAAAATACAACATACAGCATCCAGCCAAAGTCGATTTTTTTACATACAATTGAATGGACTTTGAACAAAGTTATTTACATGACATAACGTTTATTCAGTTTAGTCGTTAAAACAACTCTTTTTATTACACAGTAAAGGTTAAGATATGACAGTGAAATTACAAGGTATACCGCAATGGATGACGTCTTTAGGAAACTTAAGAGGTACAGGAGTCATGTGACGACTTCATGTTCGTAGTTTTTTCATTTTATGGATATATACGACGGTTTTCATTCATTATTAGGTGAACAGCTTATGTGTTATTACAGTTATATATACTTATATCACAAAGAGGTAAAGTTTGTGAGGTTGTATAGGGTATCTCTGGTAATTTTGGATCATTAACCGATTAAAAAAAAATGTTAGATAGCCAACGGCCAATAAAAGCGATCTAATTGAAACGATGATAGAAATTACGACGTTCTGAACTTGGATTCAGAACGTCGTAATTTCTAAGTCTCTAAGTCTAAGTCTGAGTCTGAGTTTACTAGATGATCGAACTTCGGTTCGATCCCCTAGTAAACTCAGACTAAAGTCCTTTCTTGGTTTTTAAGTGGTGTCTGCACTCTCCAAATCGTTGGTGAAGTTGCATTAATAGTTCGTTTAAAAAAAAAACAATAGGAACGGAACTGCAATGGACTATATTGCGAAAACCAGAAAAAAGTAACTCTGATGAAGTTCAAGTGGTATACTTACAATTGAATTGAAATAATTAAACATTCCAAAATTCCAAATTTAAAGAAACAAACAGCCTGCGCCCTCTTGTAATCGAACGCGTAAATCTCTGGGCCACTTTGCATACGACCGCTACTAACATATGCATATATCACTTAGTGAGTTATTAATGCCCTTTATAATTTTATACAGTACCTGTATCGAATATAAAAATCAGTAGGGGGCAGTTGGTATCTGCTTTATAGAGTGCAGTCGAGACGGAGGGCGCGACGAGTTGCGACCGCGCTCAGTACAGCGGCGACGAAATTGTCTTTCTTGCATTTATATTTCTGGTTTATATTGATACTAGTTATCGACCCCGAGTGTACATAATATACATATTAACCTTCCTCTTGAATCACTCTATTTATAGCTAAAACTGCATTAAAATCCGTTTAAAAGATCTAAGCGAATATCGCAAGCGACTTCATTATGTAAAGAAGTAATATGTTATTACATTTTTTTCTTCACTATTGGTTTAAATATAATCCAACACTGAAGAAAAAACGTCGCACCGCTTTTTATGAAAATTGCGCGGACGGAAGATAATGAAATTTCGCACACTTATAGTTTACAATAGGGAAGGAGTGCGGAATGCTAATATTTTTTTTTTAATTATGCATATAAAATACATTAAATCAATGAATAAAACATTACACACTACCATTATATTACACGACTGATAACAAAATTTCAACGTGAAATAATGTCAATATTGTTAACTGTCAAATCAGTGAATCGAGATTTGTTTCTATGCTGTTATCATAATAATCTATATGAAGCAAATCATTAACAAACGTATATGTTCAAACTTATAATTTAAATTAATTGTAGTCGAATTTCAACCATTGGGTAACCACTAGTGTAAACTTATATTAGTTTATTTAAATCCGCTATCATTTCCATGTGTGGGAGCACAAATATTCAGTGCGGAAACCTGAATTCTACTACTGGAAGTTACTACTGTTACCTTCGCTATTAGTGATCAAATTCCGACCGTTATTGAATCTATGGATCTACACCCATATTGCGAGTGAGTTGAGATGAGACTGGAGCACAGTGATGTCAATCTCTATAAGCGCCAGCAGTATGTTCAACTACCGTTTCTAGATTGTCTAAAACTTTTAAATAATGTTGACTGTACCCCAAAACTGTGTCTTTGTCTTTATATATTTTATAGAATATGGTTAACACCATATTCTATAAAATATATATAGACACAGAATTTTAAGGTAAACAAGGCATTTATATTACTAGCTAGGTAGATCACCAGCTAACTGAAGTACAGCGATGTCAATGTCGGTAGACATCGAGAACTTTAGATGGACCGTCAGCTTTGCTATTGCAATTACAAAAAAAATGCTAAATAACTTTTACACGCAAATGTACATTGGAAAATATCGATAATTCGAATTAAATCGATTGTTGAAGCATCGATTACACGGGATCTTTGGATCGGTGAGGATTTCGGCGGCGCACTGCGGGGCACTTTTCGTTACTACCCGTCCGACAACTGGTTACAGGATCGCTCACTACCGGTAGCTGAATGAATTACGATCGAGTTCTTAGTACCAGTGCCGTTTGTGTGAATAATGCGACTGACACAAACGTACATCATGTTATTATTTGCGATATATTTTTTATACAAATGAACGCATTAAATTAGTCGTAATGAGGAGTTGATTCTTGCTCGTTATTCTGATTCTGCATTCCGAATGGGCGGTAGATTAATAAAACTGTTAGGTACCGTTCAATAGTGCTTGAAATTAAGTTTTTTTTTATACAGATTATTTGTGTTCTATTTAATTATCACATGCTTATAGCACGCACAGTAGCCCAGATGAGAAGCTAAATAAAATAATTATGAAGTCGTCTATTAAGTTATACAACGACATCGCGGGTTCGAATGTGGCCAATACAAAAAACATTGTCTTAATTTAAAATTAATTAATGATAATGGAATAGTCAGACCAATGGTAGAATATAAAGTCAGTTTAGTCCCATTACAGCTATTATGCCAATTTCGAAATATAAACAGATTGACAGTATTCAAAATACTGTCAATTCTTTTTTAAAAATTGAGTAACTAACTCGAGACCGTAACAAAAGTCTATCGTATAAGAACACGGCGTCACACATATTTTTAATAGAAGATAATGAAATGGTGCACCCGCCTGCGCTAATACATAGTTTACGCTAGCAGGGTACCAGTGGAGAATGATAACATGAACATATAGTCAAGTCACTTACCCCTTCATGGTACTTTCATTAGGAATTTATCACGATGATTTCCAGGAGGAACCACATGGATCAGTGGTACATGGTACTATATAACTAGCAATTTTGGGGGGAAAGGGGTTGTTAGTAATGTGGACTCTCGACCCCATCGCTAGCAATGTATTATGTCAGGTTGACCTCCACGCGGTTCCCCTTGGAAACCATCGTGATATTATTTTCGGCGCAGTATGTCATTCTCTTCCACTGCTCTCTATCGGTCGTCATATCTGAGCATACACTTCTTTTATTCATATCATCTTTCACACAATCCAACCATCTTTTCTTAGGGCGTCTCCTCCCTTTACATCCATCCACATTCATATTATACACTTTCCATAAGACATGGTCCTCATTGCCCCGCCAGCGTAAACTGTGATATTCGCAGATGAATTTATCATGATGGGCACCACCTGACCTCATTCTCATCATATACAAAAAAAAAACTAGCAATTTTGCGTCTTTAGTCCACATTACTAACAATCCTATTCACACTTGAAAATAGCTCTAAGAATCATTAGGTTACATTACTTAGAATTTACTTACACTTGAAAATAAATGTGATTTCCGCAACTGACTTAGTCCTCTGACTACCCCGTTAGGTGTGAGTCACGAAAATCACAATGTTGTTTTTATTTTTATACCCAACAACGGAAAATAAAACTGCTAAATG